GTCTGTCAGCTGAGTGAAATGGGTATAAAGGTAAATGAAAAGTGAAATCATGGAAGTCTATTTGATTAGTATATGTACCGAGGAGAATTAATTAATAAGGTATCAATTAATAATTAAAAAAAAAAATCTGGATTATATCTCTATTTCTTTTCAAGAACTTCATCTTTATGCTACTGCAGAGAGCTTTAAAAGCAAAATCCCTTGTAGACTATGAGTCATAAGGGAAGTATAGCATAGCTTACATTTGAAATACTGCATCTTCTCTTAATGGCTGAAAAAAACCTGCAAAAAAAAATTAGACATCTGAGGTGGAGAGTACTGATAAATCCTCTGGAAAATTTTGAATAGCAGAGTGAATTGTATGTCTTTAGTGGGTAATATTCTTTCTGCTTTTCACCGCTTCCTGTTGAAGAAGTCTTTTTTTGAGGTGCAAAGTGAGAAATCATCTTGCCTGAGTTGCAAACCATCAGCTTTTTCCCCTCTGCCTTATGTAGCTGAGAATGAGGCATTCTTTCTCCGATGCAGGGCAAAGGAAAATGGTATTTTTTTTCCTCTTCACTAGCAGGCCTCAACAGTCAGTTTTATTTAACTGCAGAAGTGGTGAGAAATGCCTGCTCCTACAGACATATACTTTTTGAGATTAAGCCCTGGAAATGAAAGTATGAGAAGCTACCCAATGTAAAATATACTGCCTTCTTGACTTATCTTTTCATAGATTCATAGAATTGTTAACACTGGAAAAACCTCACAAATCCAACTGTCATCCAATCACAACCATGCCCAATAAACCATGTCTCTAAATGCTACAGCTACACATTTCTTGGACACTTCTGGAGTTGTCTGTTGTCTTAAAAAAGGACTAATTTGAACATTAAAACATTTAAACATTTGAACAGTAAAACATTTAAATTTTCAGATGGTACTCACGCTGAATCAAAGCAGGCTATACAGAATATATCAGTAATGCTAAGAGTTACATGAACAGCTGCCAGGTAAAACAAGGACTGATTTGAACCAGTGTAATACCAGCTGTTCATGGGGCAGCAAGTAATCAAGGCACTAATCAACCACTGAGGGAAAGAAGAAAGGAAGAAAGGAAGAAAAAGAAAGGAAGGGAGAGAAAGAAAGAGAGAAAGAGAGAAAGAGAAGGAAAGGAAGGAGAAGGAAGGAAGGAAAGGAGGGAAAGAGGGAGGGAGCGAGGAAGAAGCAGGTAAAATTGGGAGCAACCTAAATGAAAATGTTGAAAATTTCAGTTTCATCGCATTTATATGAGGAGGTTGTTTTGCTACTAGTTGTATAGGTTTATTTACAACTAGTTTAAGAATTCTTTGTGCATGGAATTATTTGGTGAAAAAATTGAATGAAAACCCAGACAGACAGACAGTTAGTCTGTTTTATGTCTTTCTCCATCACACTGAAAGAAAAATAAGTAATTTTTTAAACTGAGTGCTCATATTGTTAAATAAATTAATGACCTTTTGCAGAAGACAAAGAGAGATTTAAAGTGTCTTAACATGCCTGTTGCTTCCTTGCATTGTGTGGCTTTCCTAAAATGTGTCTTTCTACCGCCTTCAGAAAAACATTACTCCGATTTCTCTTTTCACTGAGTGTTCTGCTTATAAATTGTTATTCTTATAATTTGTTCCTATTATGATCATGGTTCTCTTTTTCTTTGTAAGGCTATTTGTATCCAATAAAATCAGAAACAGAGTGCTTTATAATCACTTATACTGGTGAGAGAATTGGATCATCATAGGCCATCTTGGGTCTCCCTCTTTCATCATGAGAATGGAATACTTATGTGTGTTTTAAGTGAACATTTACATAGGTTGATTCTCACATTCAGCATACAATAATTCATTGCTTTTTTGAGATCACTGAAACCCAAATACATTAGTAGAATCTACTGCTCGGACCACCGTGAGAGAATTAATCTGTAAAAATCATGTTTGATCAAAACTTAACATAAAGCAAAGCTAAGTCTGACTGGTAAATTATAATAATTAGCTAACTATTTATCCCTGTAACTGGAATATTCCTTGTTATGTTTGTCTTACTGTTATATGAAAAATAGTTATTTTAAATGACATCAATCTGTTAGCTACTGTTTGGTGAATCCATAAAGAAACCGTGTTGACAGAGAGAAATTAGGACTTGAAGATTTATTTACAAGAACTGATAAATATTCTTCATTTTCTTCAGCTTTTCAGTAATTTTAACATGAGAAAGCTTTAAAATTATCTGTTAGACTATATTAATCCAGTTTCAAGTTTCTGTCCACTCCTAACTTTGCTGCCCAAGTTTCATTGAATGCATTTGCTATCAAATTGGTACTTCATTTAGTTATCTGCACTTTAACCATTAATTTTGGACTGTGTAAAACTGTTCCTCTCTTAAAATTTAAATAATGATTTGTATGGTTTGCAGAAACAGAGAATACATGTACAAAATATGTTAAAGTTCTCCCTCTTGATAATGAAGCTCTTATTCTTGTTGAAACATGAGGAAAAATACATTAGTTCATATAAAGATCTATATGCAGGAAAAAATCATATTTTTAACATTTTTTAGAGTTGATTGGGTTTTAAAATGGGCTTAATTTTTTTTTTTACCAAGATCTGATGCATCTTATAAAAAGTTGTAGACATCTTAAAATATCTACATAGTATTCACTATTTTCAGATTTTTTTTCTGGCAGTTTAGGAGACATTCCTGTCACAGCAAACTAACTCAAGAAAAACAACAAAAAAATCTGATAATGCAGCATTTACTATTAATTGATTAAAAGTACTTTTTATTACCTATGAAGAAATATAAGTGTTCCCTTGGTTTACTCACGAGAGAGTTATTTTCTCTGTAGTATTAGCAAAACTGTATAATCCGTCTTTACTGAAACACTCTTCCTTACAACCCACTAGCGATTTTACAGAAGCCTTAGATTCAGCATAGCTTAAAAACATAAAATGCTATTCTAACAGCAAATAAAAGTTTTTTAAGGAATGGTAACAGTGTATTAGATCCAACAATTTTAACTTAAAATCGCGAGTTCAGCAGAGCATGACTTTTCTTTACCTGTGATACCCATAGAAAGAATGATTATGAAAATGAAAATAAAAATACTAACCTAGATTGTTTTTGTGACGAATCTTTCATATAGTTTCAGATCTTTCACAGCTTATGTAGCAATACTCAGAAAAGTAAGTTAGATTTTCTTTAAGGCCCTTTCAGTAAAGGATATGATGTCCGGCACATACCAGAGTTCGTAGAAAATTGAGAGTAAACCTAACCAGCTATGATGACAAGAATTTCAGGAGCCCCTGATGCTGTGCAGTGGGAATGAATGCCCAAGGGTTCAAGTTCCTAAACTGTTGGATGTGCAAAATCTGATCAGATGTTATCCTTCATTCTTCCTAGACTGGGTTAAAGAAAATAGAAAAAATTCTGTATAGAAGAAATTCTGTGTGAAATTTGCTTTCTAGTGAAGACTCTGTGCAAGAGTGATTTCATTCTTTATTGTAAAATTTAACTGTGTTTTTAATAGCTTTGGAACTGGGTTTTACATGTGCCTTGGTTTTCCAGTACTCTGATAGATCCTCAAATGCTTTCTTGTCTGATGAGTTCAACATTTCAGCTCAAGATAGTTCAGGTGAATAATTTACAGGCCACAGAGGTATATTTGCGTTCTGAACTTCTCATCTTCAGAATTTGAGCTGTGAAACTGATTTCTATCTCAGTTAATACCAACCATACAATTGAGTTTGTGTTGACTTAAACTACTTGAAAGGTGTGTGTGTCAAGCCATGTTTGCTAAGTTACATGGTAAAAGATTTTAATGAACTCCAGGTAGCAAGTAACCTTCTAGATTGAAGGCTATGTTGGCTTTAAGTAGACTGAAGGAGAAGTATTTGTTGATATGTACTCTCTTCTTTTTTTTTTCTCTGTGCAGTTTTATTTTCTCTTTAATTTAACACTGCAAGCAGCAACACATTCAATAACTCCGAGATCACTCAGATTCAGTTGGCAGTAAGAATTTCTGTAGTACTGTGATACAGCCCTTTGGAGGTTCTCTGCTACTAATGAACATAGTTGCACTTTGAGTTAATGGATTTTTTTTTTTTTTTTTTTAAATTGAGTCCACTCGAATGAATAGGTTGTGTTTCATTTAATTTCTTACACTCTTTGAGTACAAGAGTGTCTTTCATGTCTTAATTTGTTAAACAAAATCTTTCAGCAGATAAAGGTTTTGTTATATTATTGGTGTGGGCACATAGGAAGAAGATTGTTTTAAGAGCAATTACTTTTATATCATTTATTGTCTAGTATACTGACTTCAGATTTCACTCACATCTTGATTCATTAAGTGCATGTATCAAGAACACATTTGAAGTATACAGCACTTGTTTTTTAATAGTCTCATGTTACATAACCTTCATTTCACAACAGCAGCTCTTACAGACTGGGAACACAAAGGCCATATTGTTTTAAAATGGACAGTCATATCTAAAATGCAGATCTGAGCCTGTGGAGGCATCATAGGCTTTTGTGCTTTAAGGGAAGGTTAAAGAAACAGGATTCATTACTGCAAAGTCCATTAGTTGCCTGCTCCAGTACATATTTCTGGTCACTGCCCAAGAAGAAGCTACTTCTGCTCTGCTGATTATGCAATATTGTATTTGGGGGATGGAGGGAAAGGGAATGAAAAGGTACCCTTGTAGGTGTGTTTACACCCTGAATATTTACCTGAATGACTGTTTTGTCCTTGTTCAGTGATCTATGAGTTTCCCTTGTTAGGATCATTGCATCTTTCACAATGTTTCTGGTTCTGCATAAAATGGGTAACACATAGTATGTTTGTTCACTAATACCTTCATGTAGAAAGTCAGGGAAATGACCTTTAAATAACAAAGTTAAGTATTAGTTTAATACTGAAGGAAGTTATTAAAAGGATGTGAGATACTTTCAAAACAAATTAGTAAAACATTTCTTTGATTTCTTTATAGATTCTGGACAACCAGGAAGTCCAAGCCACAATGATCCTGCCAAGAATCCACCAGGTAAATATAAGTTCCAGAACATGTGCAATCTAACATTGTTTGAGAACAAAGATACTACTGTTAATAGTTAAAGAGAGCATAATTGATCAGCAACATATTTTGCTCTGTTAGGTACATATAATTGGGACAAGCTGTGATTACTTTAGCTCTTTTAAATTGGCAATGCCTCAATTGAAGTTTCATCAGGATTCATTTAATATAAGGAATTTTTCTTTCAGTTCATGTTTTTTAAAGTTTGTAAGTGGGGATGGACTGAGAAGTGAGGTGAAAAGATCTCCAAATAACTCTACTTTTCAAAAGTTCCCACGTACTAGAATTAGCCTTAGTGTCAGACAAAACACAACTGCCCTACCTCTAAGTCTGTGTACTGAGTTAACAACAACTTTCCATTAACTTCAATTTTCACATGCATTCTAAAGTGTAAATATGTTCATTTTTTGTAAAAGTACATCAGGTCAGAACAGTTTTTGAACACATTGTTAAGCGATTTGGCACTTTTTTGAGAGGTATTTCAGCGATTTCATGGAAACAGTCCTTTCAAGGATTCTCTAAAAATAAAAATTCAAGAGAAAATAAAAACCACGCTGCCTTTTCACACTATTTAGGCCAAAAGCTCTTTTGTACTTTTGTGGAGTTATCCTTCCAAATCAATTTGGCAGTGCTGGTAAGTCTTGTAAGTCTTTTGTTTTTTTTTATGAATTTTATCAGACAAACAAATGTAACAGACTTCCTCATACTATAACTTCTTAAAGAGTAAGGAGTGACTCCTGCCATCAAAACCATACTGTATCTTCACTTTTCAGCTCTCAGAAGAAACAACTCTCATTAATAAGCTTGAGCTAGCTTAGTTTTTTTTTTTTTTTCTAAATGGAAAATGAACCACACTCTAACCAAGAAATAACTGTGATGGTAGGCTGTTACATATACATGAGTATTTTCTGGATTTGTTAAAACATTAGGGAGAGCAGCCTACATTGTGGCTATGCAGTTTTGTACCATGGATAGGATCAAAGCATTCTCAGTATGTTTTGGAATGTTCCATCCATGTGTGTTGGAACTGAATACTCAACAGTGGAAGAACTACTGTACCTCATTATACAAAAAAAATCGGCATTCTTTTATTATAAAGAGTAGCAATATATTTCTTGAAGTTTGATGATACGTTTTGGAGTTATGATGACAGAAGTAGTCAAAAAAACTTGTCAAGCTGTTTTTCAAGTGTTTTTGATTGCTATTTATTTATTTATTTATGAAATACGTGGCATAAATTATGTAGGATAATGGTTTAAACCCCCCTCCTGGAAATCCCTTACTTATCAGCAAATTTACACCTGAAACAGAACTGATTTTTTTTCTCATAGATAAACACACTTTTGTAAAACTTGGAACATTCGACCTTAGAGAATTTGTTCTAAAGTATTTATAGTTATAAATGTAAGGAAAGCCAAATGCATTATATCTCATCATTTTGAATCATCCTTTGTAGCCTGAGAATTTGAGAAGGCGAAGGCCAGTTGTGGAAACTTACCTTCATTGTTTAAAAATTCTGTTTTAAAATACCACTCAACATTTGGTGTAGGAGGACAGAAGTATGTATTTCACAACTGAGGATCAAAACTTTTTATGTCCAGCCCCATCAACTCTAACTCTCAACTCCAGATTACTTTAGAAAGAGGTAGTCTTTCTGCCAACGACACAACTATGGCAAGCAGCAGAGGATCCTCACAGGCTTTTTTTTGGCAGTGTTGCAAGATCAGTTGCCCTGATTTCTGATGAACTCCATTGTCCCAGGAGCCAGCAGGAGATAGTGGCAGAGAAATCTTTTGCTGGAGTTATCATAAAACTTTATGCTTGTAATTTGAGCATAACACTTTCTCATACTTTGGAGTCACTGTTGACGGCATTGTTCCTTTTATCTGTAGCCAAGGGAGGACAGAAAATGTGAGCCATGCCTTGCCTCCATTGAAACCCTTCATTTGAGCAGAGACAGTAGCATAATTAGATGTCATCTGTTTATTTGAGGATGTATGAAATTCTAGCATCATTCAGCTTCCCTGTGTGATACTGTTTGGCAGAGAGAAAGCAATGGGGTTTCTGGGACTGCAAAATACAGATCTTCTGGGCTTGTTCAAGGATATATGTTGGAGTCACACTCCCATAAGCTTGTCTGTCTAAAAGGGACTACTGTCCTGTTCTTTTCTTATTAAATTTCATGACTCCTTCATTTTCTTAGGACAAGCAGTCACTTCTGTCAAAATCTCAGAGGACATACACTCTGAGGTATTGTAATTTTTTGTACCAGGCTAGGAGAAGAGGGACTGGCTATGCCAGATCGGTCCTGGTCTTTCAACATGTTTTATGTTTTGGTTTGATGCTTGAATATCAAACAGCCAAGTTGTTGGCAAGGCATAAGAGCTGTTAATGCTTGGATGCCACTATCTTCACAAAGGCTTTGCCAAGGCAGAAGAGACTGGAAACAGAGTTGTAGTTAGTGAGATTGCTGGTGTTAAAAGTGTTTTTTCTAGGTTTGGCTAGACTATTACATTCTTTAGGGTGTCTGGTAATTTGCTGTCTTAACTATGGTAATGTCATTTGCCAAACAAAAGAACATTAAGAACCCTTGTTGGAATTCTTTATAATTGGTTCTTAAAAATACACTGAATATTTTGATAGTATAACACAGTGCTAAGTGTAGTTTGTGGTGAAAGTGGTATTTAGCTTTTGTAGCAAGATCCACAGATATCCTCCTTAAATTTTATTTTTCAAAAACTTTTACTGGGTTTATTTCTGAAGAATGAAATATGATTTTCTGTGAACTGGGCTGTTAAAAGTCACTTCTGCAAAGGGATTGTTTTGTTTGCTGCTGACATCTAGATGAGCTGAGCTGAACTGAGAGAAGAGTTTGAGTACTGTTGTTGCCCAGACCAGTCATTAAGCACCTAGAATCTACAGGTTTATTTGGTATTAGCTTCTGAGAGAGTGTAGTCACGGTACCATTGGACCAAGCCATGCGTGGATCAGTTAGTGCTTAAAATGAAAATAGGTGGAGCATGGTGACTACTAGTTAAAAAATACTCACAAAACAGCAACAACAAGACCAGCAAACAACAACTCCTCTTTATGTCTGGGTATCTATTCAGCTACTGCTGAAGGCATGTTTCTAAAGGAGGAAGACCCAGCATGGCAGTTTCAATGTAGTTCTATATTATTTGCTCCTAGTGAATTTCAGTGTAGGTACGATCTTATGTGTGTCCCAAGTGTGTAGCTTAAGGAAATTAAGAAATGAGCCTTCCTTACTATCTGTGTGACACAAAATATTTGTAAAGCTGTGAGTTGATAGGTACAGAAGGCAGATGAACTGCTCTTTCAGTGAGTTCATCTGTTAGGCATAAGACACTTAGGAGGGTGTGTAAAAAGAGAAAAGCATGCAGAACCATTTATAACATAATAATACTCACACCACCCATAAAAATTTGGCCTCTGGTGATATGTTCTTCACTGGTCAGTTCTTCTATTAATTGATTTTCTGGATTTTTTTCCATTTTATTTTTTCTCTCCTCACTGCCTATTGGCCACAATTGTTAGACGGGCAAAGTTACCTGCTACTCGTCATTGGCGTGAGATTGCAGCTTGGCAGGTTTGACTTACACATTGGCATTAAAATGTCTGTGTGAAGCTATTGAGTGCCAGGGTGCTCAAATCTTTCAAGGCAGTCTTTTTAAACTGCTAAAATAAGGGTAGCAAATAGAGAGGCTGATAGGGTAAAATATTGTGTTAATATGACAGTAAGATAGGATGGACATCTGAACAGAGTTTTAGCCTCATGGGGACTCCTGATGGAATCAATACTAGTTACTATTGGTGCTTCATCTTTTGACTTATGGATATAGCCACAAGGAGAATAGTTTTCTCTTGGTCAGATCTCTTCAGAGTATAAGAGCTATTCTTGAACAGCACTGGGGAATAAAAAATATGTCTTTCAGAAGGTGTGAAGAAAACCTAACCATCCTCAAATAGATGATTACGAATGTCATTGGCCAGGGAAGACAAATGCATTCAGATTTTTTGCTATCATTCAAGCAGTTGAGGTCAGAAATTATTACGGCTGTTTTCTAGAAAATGGGACCTACTCGTTTTTGTTGTTGTTGTTGTTTGTTTGTTTGCTCCCCTGTAGAATCTATTCTTATTTAGCTGAATATCTTAATATAAACATTGCAGACTCTATAAATTCAGTCAGGGCTGAATGCAGAATGAAGATGACTCGGGACCAAGCCTGTGTGCTAATAAATATTACATTTTTAATGTAGGGGGTGAGAGATTTTTAGACAGAAACTGAGAAATTGCCCTTTCAGTTTTCATTCCTCCTCACCATTTGCCTTCTTCTTTCCGCCATAGTAGCCCATGATATCTGAAGATAGGTCTCCAGTCTGAATGACATGTGGTTCAGTGAATCCCTAGACCCAACACTGCTATTCTGGTGTGGGTTTTTCCCTTGTATTTTTGCCAGAAATTTTGTTCTGGGAATCTTTTCTAAAGAAGACCTGAATGAAATCACAATCTATTCTTTTTTTTTTTTTTCCTAATTAAAAAAGGTGTTGCCAAAAACCAGCCTCACCTATCTCTTAACATGCAAATCTCTCTTGCAGCTGTAGAGCCCCAAAGGCTTTTTTGAGCTTTCATATGGGCAAGCAGCCACAGGGAAAACATTTTTTTTATCAAGCCCTAAAGAATGTGTAATAAATTTGCCTATATCTGACTGTTTTAGAAATAAGTATTTCAGTTCTAACTTCTAGAACTTACAACTTCAGAAGAAACTTCTGAAGAGTAATGTGGTCTCAACCTTTGCAGTCTATTGGATGTGCAATAAGTAAATGTCTTTGAGTTTTGAATGACTCAGAACACACATGGTTTCATTATTTTACTCCACTGCAAGTTACCTTTTGTGGATGGCGAATTATTGTCCTAGTTAGTAGGAACATAAGAGAAATTCCCTGTCTGTG